GTTACAATATGACACAGTCTGGACCAGTGATCTCTGGACTGTAGGGTTACAGTATGATATGATACAGTCTAGACTGGAAACCACAGACTCACACGTCAAATGTTATGGATTGGTCATATAAAATACCAGTTTTGTTTGCTAAATGAATATACGGCATTTATACTACATCAATTCAGACAGATTTGGACTGACTGGACCCTGTGATTCGATTTGTGTAAGTGGTTGATCTGTACAAACAAAGCTGTCATATTTAGTTTGTAATTCTATAATTAAGCACAGTTGCTGTGCCGATTAGCTAATGGACTCTGAGATAAGAGTGCCTACAGGGACATCTGGAGGGTAATGAGCGCCCGAGGTCATGTGGTTAAGGCAAGGCTCCAGGCTGCACACATACAGGACAGTAGTTCCGAGCGCTGTCCTGATATTCCTAATGATGGCTCACCTTTCCTACTGTTTGTGCTGCTGGTCAGCGGCTGGAGCACTGTGGGAGCTGATCGTATGGAGAGAGAGAGAGAGAGAGAGAGAGAGAGAGAGAGAGAGAGAGAGAGAGAGAGAAGCCGCAGATCCTGGTACGAGAGAGTAATGTACCGGTAAATTGATTCTGCGCTGAGCTGGAAGGAGAGGAGGCAGTGCAGCAGAGGCAGGCAGGGAGGACAGGAAGGAGAGAGGTGGCGGGGAGATAGGAATGAAGCTGGAGAGAGGGCCGATACCAAGGAGGAGATTTAGGGGGTTTATATGAGAGAATTGGGGGAGAAAAGAGGGAGAAAGCTGAACATGCCTGTGAAGTGTTTTATTTTCTGCTTTCTTCATTGGATCTCCCTATGATTTGTTATTGCCCGTGATCTTCATATAGCCCCCAGCCCCTCACACAATAAAATACCCACACAAAACTACCACACTGGGCTCCGAAAGAGCACGATTACACTGCGCACAGCACTGATGTGTTTGAGCATGCTTGGTGTTGTGCTTGGTGTTGTTCAGCACTTGGCCAGTGGCAGGGCTTCTGTATTTCCCGGTACGTACTGTAAGTGTCTGTAGCGCTCCAGTAAGGTAGCAGAGCAGGGTTGTCTACTGTCAAAAGCCACAGAAGGGTTAACATCAGACAGATCTGAAGCACAGAGACAGCCTGTTGTTCGCGTACTGACGAGTACTGTAGCGTACTGAACCAGCCAGACGAGTGCCGGGAGCTGCCCTGTCCTTCATGCTTGCCCACGCTCTGCCGATAAAAAGGCAGAAGGGCTTGTATCATAACCTTTCACCCAGCAGCGCAGTCAAATCCTGATGAGTCACGTGTCAAGCTCAATAGTTAATCATAACAATTCCTTTCTCTTATATAGCACTTTTCTGGACACTCCACTCAGAGCGCTTTACTCTAATGGGGAATCCCACTATGGCCACCAGTGTGCAGCCCCACCTGGATGATGCGACGGCAGCCTTAGTGCGCCAGTGCTCTCCCCACACACCAGCTCTCAGTGGGGAGGAGAACAGAGTGATGAAGCCAGTTCAGAGAGGGGGATTATTAGGAGGCCATGACTGGTACAGGCCAGGGGGAAATTTCAGGACACTTCTACTCTTTTCGAGAAACACTCTGGAATTTCTAATGACCACAATCATGACTGGTAATCATGACTGATAGTTGTTTATTCAAAAGATGGCTTTGATCCCCACCCACTTAGACTAGACTAGACTGTCTGTATGTCCCTCAGTTATTTCATACTGTCCGCCTGAGACTTCATCCCCCTGCCCCCCTGTCAAGCAGGTGTGCGTCCAGCCCTGGCGCGGGTCACGCACGCACTCGCTGTCCCGAGAGCTTCCCGTTCCCCCTGTGGGGGATGTCCCGTGTGGGGGCCGTGAATAATTGAGCCGCGCTCTCGTCAGGATCGCATGGGAGAGGATTGACTTCCCAGCCGCCGGCCTGACACAGCCCGGCTCCTCAGCTGTATTTGCACCGAGCGACTCCTTAAATATTTAGAGGCCAGCATCTAACATTAATGGCCCCCGGGCTTGGCTGTCCGTGCTGCTGCAGAGTCCTGCCGCTGTGTGTGTGTGTGTG